AGAATTAGATTTAATCTGTTTCTCGTACGTACAATGTGACCAAAATCTTCCAGAAATTTTGATGAGGTATTTTAATTTTTAGATTTTAGCAGTTGGCGGTAAAAATTTCACATTATTTGGTCGACCAGTATCTGATTACTGTTACTGTTGTAAAATTGTGGTATAAAACCAACCAAGAAGTGTATCCAATGAAACATTGCTTTTGTCGATTGAATATTGGAAAAATAGTTGAATGATTTAAAATGTTATTATGTAGAATGTTTCGTCTAAAATGTCAAAAGGAGGAAAATTAAATGTTTTTGATACCAAACGAGAAATAGTTTGTCACCAAAATTGATCAACAAAATCATTCAGAATTTACTAAACTTCTTTTTTGGAAAACTCTGAGAGAGTCATTTTATTTATCACTTCTTCCTGCTTCCTGATAGAGAGAGAGGGAGAGAGAGAGAGAGAGAGAGAGAAAAAAAGCAACACATCTTAGATGAGAAAATATTTCACACAAATGTGACAACTCAACATTTGTTGTCTCTGGAATGTCTAATAATGATAACAATAATAATAATAATAATAATAATAATAATAATAATAACAATAATAATAATAATAATAATAATAATAATAATAATAATAATAATAATAATAGTAATAATAACTAAATTTTTCAATTTATAAATAATTGCACTAACTCTTTTCCACATTAAATGTATTTATTTTCCTTTTTTTCTATCTTCTATCATCATATTTTTATTATTACCAGCTTCATTTTTTTATATTTTTATTAATACCAACTTCAGAAGAAAATTCAATATATTGTAAAAATTAAATTTTTTCAGATAAAATTATTTGAAATTTATGCTTTCTTTATACTTTTAAAATTATCCATAACAATTGCTATTTCGAATGATTAATTAAATTAGAAAGATATTTTGATATTTTTATAATCAAAATCAAATTTGACTAAAATAATTGTTAGAATAATTGATTAAATTAAATAATGCCAAATTTGGTGGTTTAATTTTTTTTTTGAATTTCCTTTGTGATAAATTAAAATGAAAAAATATTTCCATATCTTTGTTATCTTCTCCTGAAATCATTACATATCACATTCGGTATTCACTGCCTAATTGATCAATCGATTCCTTATCATACTACGATCAATTCATCCATAATTTCAACTTCCTGACCGATAATTGTAATTGTAATTTCATTTCCTACTTTTCTTAAATTCCTATTTTTCTTATTTCTTATTTTTTCATTAACATTTCCATTTCTTTCACCTTTGTATTGTCATTTTGGTTATATTTGCATTTATGATAATGTTTTAAATGTTACAGTATGCCTACATTGCCACCACAAGAATACAAAAATATATATCACTTTTGTTTTATAATTTTCTATTAAAATGAGCTAATCATAAAGATAATAATAAAGCTGTCTCCTTCAAATCACATCTTCAAATGCTTTTTTTAAAATACAAACGTTGTTTTGATAATGTTTATAATAGATCTTATCATAACACTTTCATCATAAATTATCAAATAAGATGATCATATATTATATAACAATACAATGATGCGAAACATTCAAAACATCTATTGTTGCATTTTCATATGATTGCATTGTTTTAATTTTTAAAACTATTGCAATAGATATTAAAAGAAAAAATTTTATATGCTTGAAACAACAAAGACAATGTAAAATATTATTATCATTATAATAAGTTTATTACTATTTTAGTATGACATTAGCTGGAAATTATTTCCAGCCCGCTTTCTTCATAGAAAAAAGAATCAATAAAACAGGTCATTATCGTTGAATTTCTGTAATCTTCTATAGCATTCTACAAAATATCGTATATTCGTTATGCTATGAATCATTTGACCTGAATATATATGGTCATTAAGAAAGAAAAAAAGAAATGAATTTCAAAAAAATATTTTTCGCAGATAAAATCTGTTGAATTTGCAACAACGCTCATGTTTTACTTGACGCTTTTGATTTCGAGAATAATTTCATGACAGTGTGGGTATTAAATTTCACTTCTAAATTCTAATTATTGTTAAACCGGCTTTTGATTTCGCTATTGCGTAATTTCGCCGCTGCATGAAAATACTAAATTCATCAAAATCATCAAAATTCCTAACGAACATTGAACACCTGATGTGGCAATTGTCAGATGGGTTTTTAAACATTCAAATTCGAATGTTATCTCATGATCAGTTGAATATCATGGATCATAACAGAATATTGGATTATTTGAAGTGTGAAGTGGCGATCTATGAAAAAAAGCAAAGGAAAAGAAAGAAGAAAAAAGAGAGAAGATGTATTTTGTTGTGTTATTTCACGAGTGATTGTTTGGCAGTAAGATATGTTTGCTTAATTTAATCAGAATTGTATGGAATCACTTTGACCGTTTTATAGAATCCGTAAAGAGAAATATATTTGCTTCATTTAAATGAAAATTTATATACTTTCCATTTGCTAAACTAACCGATAGTAAATGGAAATTATATAAATTTTTTTAAAACTTTTGTTAAATGTTTTTTCAAACCGGTTAAATATTTGAATTATGCAAGGAATTATATACTTTCCATTTGGTTGTGAGTTTAGCATTTTTGATAGAATCATAATAATTTCGATTCTATTCTTAATTAATTTCGATTTTTCATTATGTTTGCATTTGTGCATGCATGGATAGCGAACATTTCTGAATGAATTTTAATGCTGTTATCAGGCTGGTACGACTGGTACCTCCAAACATTTCTTACTAATAATTCAAATTATTGTATAGAGATATGCTGATCAACTTCTAATGTCACTAAGGTTATTTAATAATTCAGATTATGCAAATACAATAATGAAAAATGATTCATTTAGCAGTAGTAATTATATTGAGTAAGAACTAAAATCAGAATATCATCCTTACTTTTCTAGCGATTTTTCTCTCAAATCGTTATCATATCGATGAAAGAAACAAAGAGCTTACTAATTGGAAAATTCACTCGTTTCTTTCGTGTTGTAACGATTAATGAGGAACAGATCAACAGAATCTTTAATGAAGAAAAACGTGTCATCTAGAAACTTCACGTATGTCACGCATGTCAAGAGTATATGCATTACAGATTTGATCAGAATTTATATACATCAACAGAGAAGAGAAAAAAATCACACAGTGTTATTTCCTGCCAAGTTTTTTATAATGTAATATTCGTTGACATGCCATACTACCTCGATATATACTATGTATACGATTAATCGGTGATAAACTGGGCACAACTGCTGATGATAAGCGTTCAAAAATATCCAACTTTTCACCAACTGCATCACTATTATATTCTTGCCTGAAAATTTGCATCGCAAAATTTTCGTATTACATTCAGAATGATACACAAAAAATGAAATAGATTCGTAGTAATACTGCAGCTTATTATATACTTTCAAATAAGTAATTAACGCTAATAAGTAGTTAACTCTTCACATCGATTTCAATCAAAAAAGAAAATGAGATTATCATTAGGCTTTAGGTTCGCAAATAGTTCATCACTTAATAATATGGAAACAAAACAAACACAAATCTTCGATAATGTTTTTCAACAATGATCGCAATACACATTCGCTTCACCTGATAATACGACTGTTGTCGGTGTGTTAACAATAAAATTTTGATTATTTTATCCAAATTATCCAAATTCTGCATATTTGATGTATTCATTATATTAGTTATTCATGGAACAATCATTTCATTCAGCTCATGAAATTACAAACGTCTTAAAAATTCTAATCAATTCACATTTAAAAGTTGAAATACTAAAACTCGTCCAATATCATCATCAAATTGGGTCATTCGCAATTGGAATTGTTTGGCACATTTCAGCATTTGTGGTATCACCTCCGGATCTACTATTTCGGATGACTCGAATACACCAAAGATCATATATGACAAGGTCTTAAAAAAATGTTTTTTAGCTGCTTAATAATAAATTTAACAGTAGCATCAGTTAACTGGATGATTTCAACAAAATAATATGATTATCAGTACTTTTATTTCTTTCAGGTAATCGTGCAAGATTATGTTCACCTTGCAACTATGTCAAATAATAGAAGTGTATTGTATCATATAATCGAATAATAGTAATGGAGCATCTAATTATAATAATTATATAGTTGCTTACTCAGTCTTCAAATGATTTCTAAATGGGTTTATGTCCTCTGTTTATTAAAATTTGGAAACTATTTAATTATCGAAAGACAAGAAATATAGAAACCTGTAGAACAGCTTCACGATTATAATTGAGGGTGATTTGATTTAATGTAATATTATCGGAGTTCAACAAATCGCGGAAATATGGTGACGATATATACAATAAACTTTTATATGACTGAATTTCGCCATCCAATGTTTTGAATATGAAATCTCTACAAATCAAATGTCACTCAGTACTTGAAAAGTTTCCTTATTGTCGAATTTCCATTTAGGAAAAAAACGTTCAAAAGAAGCCGAAAAAAATTTGAGATTTTTTAGAATCATTTGCCTACCAAATAAGTATTTTATTTTCTACTATGGTAGGTGTCAAGAGTGCACGATTCTTAATGCACTGCTGCTCTCCGTGTTACTGCAATGTTGAAGTAAAACTGAATTCTTGATCCTCTGCCTTAACCGGCATTGCGCGATTTATTTTCTTCCTCTTCATTTGTTATTAAAATTTAGATATTTTCATAATTTTATACAACATCACTGATAACTTATATGGCATCATTTAAATTTAGATAAGTTATCTCTTAGTAACGCATTTATCAATAACTTTTTCAAATATTCGAAATTATCACTCCTTCTTTCCCACTCTTAACCTCCGATAGATTGTTTCAATTACTTCCCTTTTCTTTTCTGAATATGATTAAGACAAAGTTTATATTTGAATTTGCAGCCTTATTCAGTGCTCATAAGAGAAAAGCAATTAAAAATTCAGTTTCATAAATTTACAATAATTCATAAAGTAGCAAATTTTAATCCCACTTATTTTATTTCCATTCATTGCCATATGTTTATTTATTTTTTATTCATTTATTTGTTGAAAAAGAGCACCAAATTTTTTTGTTAACTTACGGTCCAACATTTTCGTAAATATCTTTAAGCTTCTTGCGAAAATCGCCATCTTTCAGTAATGATTGTACCGGTAAACTTTTATTCAATTGTATTTGAAAATCGCTAGCCGCAAAACTCATTTCAACAGTAAGCATTGCATGACCACCTTGCCATCGTGAATGTATACTGAAGGCTGAACAAGTACCTACGAGATATTGATAAAAAATTTAATGAATATAACAGTGAAAAAATTTTAAGAAATCCAATTCTTCTAAATTCTTTAATTTTCAAATCAATTTCAAAACAACCTTCTGTGAGTGAAGTAAGTAGCGGATCCCCCTCAAAAAGACGGTAATTTCCGTTGGAATAAAATGTTGAATGATATTTATTCGGCACTGATGCAATTTGTGGTGCTGTAACTTTTTTTCTTTTAATTCCAACTTTAAATTTTATCCTTATATTTATTTAAATTTTCCTGTCATTTTAAAATTTCTTCCATATTTATAAGTTTTGTTTTTTTCTGTTTTGAATTTTTATCTTTTTTAATTTAAATGAATTAACTACTTTTAAGTGATGAAAATAACTTACAGCATTCTTCACCTTTCATTAACTGCAATTTAAATGCTATTGCTAATGGAGTCGGTTGGGTAAATACTTTGCAGTGATCAAGAAATAATCTCCACACTGTCTTCATTTCTGGCCACTGTGGTGATCCTATGAAGTTGATTGTCCTGAAAACTACATAATACATAATGAAATTGAAGTGAATTCAATTTTCATTTCTGTCTTATAAATTCTTTATTGATATAATTGGGTATTGTGGATCAAGAAGCCAATGAGAGCTTCTGAGCAAGTTTTTTATCTGAACAAAACATATTTTATTTAATATATCATTGTTTTATTACTATCTTCAATATTTTGAAATTCATTTTAAACGAGTTTAAATAAAGTTCACATACCATTCATAAGCAAATGTTTCGTACATTGTATAAAAATGTGTTTGTTGGAAAAATGAGGCACCTGAAAAAGTGTATAATTTTTAATCCATTAATTAATTATGCCGAAGTTTGAGGTATTCCATTTTGACAAAACAGAGTATGGCACATATCCTCTATAAAAAGAAATTTCTTTTTTAACCATATTGGAAAACTTTGATTAAAAAAGAAATTTGCAAATGACGCATTCATTAGAACGTAGTAACGATGCGTGAAATTAAGCAAATCAATTTTTAGCAACTAATAAATTAAGTAATTAGAATAATCAACTAAGGTAGCTAATCGGGGCAATTAATTAGCTAAAATAATAAACCAGCAGGTCGAACAATCGGTATAGTCCAACGGAAAAGATAGGTGATGCTTGATAATACGTGCTCAGCTGCCGTTTTGCAACCGCTATTCGGAACATTATTTACAATTTCTCGTAAGAGTTTTATGCATCCACTCATCTTCAGCTCATGTAAACAAATAACCGAAGCTATTGGATCTCGGAATTAAATACTGTTGAGATGATCACTTTTATTTCAAGCAATTTTTACAATTTTGCAGAAATCGCAAAATTGAACTTCTCGTAACAAAGACCAGTTGATTTCATAGTTTTGCTTGACTTATTTGAATTCTAATTTTTAATGATACCTTTCTATTATCTACGTCACCCGCTTTTGGTGATTTAAAAAGAGATATCATATATTTGACAATGCTCAGAACCCGATATGTTTCCGATGATTTGTGAAGTAACGCTTGATATTGTGCAGTTAGCATGTTTGATTAGAATAGTTAAATCTATCACAATTTCAGTGCCATAGTTTTGATACCACAGCAATAGTCACTTTTAAAAACTCTAAGCTTTTAAAACACCATTTGTGTCTCAAACTGGAAGCCTAACAAACGTCTTCTATTGGGGTCCATTTTCGTGCTCAACAAAGATACCATGACATCCATTTAGCATAGCCATTTTAAAATAAATGCGTATACCAAAGAGAAAAATGAAATATTATTAAATAACAAAAGAAATGTAGCTTAGTCAATTCATTCTTACCCATAAAATAAATAACTTCAAATTAATATGATAGAATACTTAAAAGAGAGGCAATATTCACAATGGACTCATGACATAGCTTAACTTTTAAGGAACAGTTTGTTCGGATGCCATGCCGATCATCCTAGAAATCTGCAATAAATACGGTCTTTTTTCAAATTGAATAAATGATAAAAATTTTAAAAAACATGAAGTTTGCATTCGGTATACAATATGCAGAGATGGGCGGACACATTTCTAATAGCATAATACTCAAAATGTAGCAAGAGAATATTAATGAAAAGTAGATTTCAGAGAATTGAGTAAGATTAGCTAAACAAAAATGAAATGAAATTGCAGTAAACACAGAAAACTGATAAATAGTAGTGATAAATGCTAAGATAATAATCAAAAATATTAAAAAAATAATCAAAAAAAAATAATCAACGAATATAAATAAATAAAACTTCATCCCTTTCAATCAGTTTTTGGAATACTTCGAACTTTCATTAAAATCATAAATTTTTATTCCAAATTGAAACTCTGAAATTATAATATCATGGCAGATAGAACAACAAAAAGAGTATTTCACAAATTCATAAAGATCTCTTTCAAAAATTTAGAAATTTCGATTAGCTAGAAAAAGCTTAGAAATTTAAAAGCAAACAAGATATAAAACTTCTGAGATTTCAGGAATTTCAAACCTGAATGGAATCAATAACATCGAGCTAATAAAACTGGATAAGATAATGAACATAAAGGAGAAATTCTAAAACTTTGTATGCATAGTAAATATCAAAACACACTGCATCAGAAGAGCTAAATGGGGAAAAAAATAAGTAAAGAACGGAAAAGAAGAACGAAACGGGATGGCTGGTTATAGGTATTTTGAAACTTCTATTCTTTATGTCTTTAAACTGAATTATATTGTGACTATCATAAAATAATATTGTAAAATTATGACAGTTACAAAATAATTGAGTCTAAAGCATAAAGAATAAGCAATGGATATGAGAGTGACGTGTTTTGCGCAAAAAATTTTTCCAACACACTTGCAATGTTTGGGAAGATTTTCTTAAAAGATTCTTTGCTGAAACTGATCATAATTGTACGAGGATCGATATGGTAACCGCATAGGATAAACACGAAACTGCAAAAAAAAACTGTGATATCAGAAAGAAAGACTGATTTCAATCCATTTCGAATTAATTCAAAGGATTATTCCCGTTATCTTTTGAAAATATGAAAAAGACAATGAGAAATCATAAAAAATGAAGAACGAGCTTACAAATTTTTGAGCGCCTTCTAATATTGCTTGCGAATACTGATTTGGGAGATCTTTGATAAGCTGAAATACAGACTCAAATCTCTCTGTCACAAAAAAATGCTTTTATATCCAGAAATCTTGATTCTTTTCCAAAAATTCATTGAAATGACTTCATTGACTTTCTTCAAAAATTCTTAAAGTAATGACTAACTACGTCAAAAATAAATCATAAAAATCTTACAGCCTTAATATGATCCAAATCAATTCGAGCCAATTTCTGATACATGATATCCATAAGACCTGGTGGAAAAGAAGCATTCATTGCTTCAACGATCATCTCCAGTAAATTCTTATCTCTTGGTCTGTATTTCTCCATACGAACTTCATTTTCAACGTAACTTTCAAGTTGACGCCGTAAATCTCGCAATTGCATCAGGTTTGAGAAATGAGTGAGCAAGGGAAAATTGCATTCTGAAAAAAAGTGGTAAAATTCTGAAGCCGTTTTAAGAAGTATATGGAAAACCTTGTTTAAAAATCCCCGAAAACTTGCTCTCTTCGTTATTCGACCACCGAACAACAAACAAATAATACGATTTCTGAAATGGAATATCATTTCATGTGATGGATAAAATATAGAAACCAAAAAATCAATTTCCAAAAAAATTTACAATTCTCTTCAACCTTTAAACCCAGCTACCGCCACTTACCAAAAATATTTCAACTTTTAGAAAAATTATTAGAATTTCAGCAATCGTCAAACATGAGAAAATAATATGTTTGCAAGAATCTCACCTGTGATACTTCTATTGATGACGTAATTATCATTTGGACATATAAAACGAAGTAATTCAATGACTTCATCATATGTTTCATCTTCTAACTCAGCTCGACCATTTTGAGCTTCTCTGTAATTGAAGCAAGCATGATAAGTCTATTTAAATAAGTCTATTTAAAAAACTGAAGAATTCTGAATAATGAAGCTTCGCAAACTTTCGTAGATGAGATCATTGAACAATTGTCACTAAAAGGACTGTCACTAAAACTCTAAAGATCTAAAAATCACGAAACTAGACCAATGCATTTTTAACTATAACTATATATTTATCGCCTCAAATCAATCCTGAATTCGATTGGATTGTTACCTGTAAGAGTATAATCTTTTTTCAAGTTCTATTTTCTGCTAATTAGCCTGCCGCCAAATAGATCCATATATATTAATCAAAATAAAGTGAAAAATGATTTACCGAAATGTATCTTCAAAGCAAAGCATTTTGAAATATGGCGACAATTCCGCTAGATAATGAGCATTCACGAAAATACTTTTCTTTTCCACAATTAATTCAAACTGCCGCAATCGTGTCCGCTGAGAAAACGTATCATCCGACATTCTCATCCCTTAAACATTACCCTTTATTATTGCAATTTTTGGCAGTTTTCATTTCATCAAATTTTTTCTTTCAAAGATGTTATATACATCACTAATTCTTCTGATATAATTCTCTATCTGCCTGTCATTGTGGTTTCTATGCATTCACTTGCTACTTTCATTTTTTCAAAATTTCAACTTCCAATTGACTTCATTTTGCGGAGCTCGAACAGAGTAAATGAAAATAACTTTTTATTTTTTCTCTCTCTCTCTCTCTTTCTCTCTCCTATTAATAACATAATTCTCCCTTTCCACAATTTTCTAAATTATTTTAGTTGTTCAAAATTCACGCTCAACGAAACGAAATCGATAGAAGATGTTAAACTTGAAAAAAGAAAAACTGGTTGAATAAAAAGACAGCAATAAGAGGAAAGATGGAGCCGGCCACTGCAATTACTTTAACGATCATTGTATGAATCATCATCTATTCTTGATGTGCTCATTATTACTCTCTCTATAATCCTTATCACTCTTACTGATTAAGATGAATACTATTATCACTACTGATATACACGTACGTCAATAACTTGTGAAAAGAGAATGAGAAATGGTTCATTTTGTTTCATTCTATTATATTTTGCATTTATCGTACAATGAGCACAATATGATTGGCTTCTTGCCAGTATCGTATGGACGCTTGCATGTGCTAGGCTTGCTAGGGGTTGTGTGTAGCGGTGTTTGGCATATTGTTTACAGATGGTTGGTATTTTCTGATCATTCACACAATTCATTCATTCGTTCTTCTATTATTCAATAGTTGACAGCTCAGATAGTGTTTCGAGCAATTCAGATTCAATTCGGTTTAATGAGAAAAATAAATTTTCAGTAAATTTTAAAGAATCTCTGCTCTTTGAAAGATTTGAAAAGTTGTAAGATTAATTCACAGAGAAAAATCCTAACAAAAGCGAGAAACTATAAGACCATCTAGCAAATTATCCGATCTATGTTAAATTCTTGGCATGACATTAGTCGTATGTATAAGTAACGTATTTTGTGTAATTAGGATATCTTACACGTTGCAACATTAATTAAGCACAAATCGTTGGCAGGTAACAAAGGATTGTGAAAGGGATTTTTAATCAAATATTGTAGAAATTGGTAAATGTAATAGGCAACAATATTTTAAAAAACAGTAGATGCTACGATATTATGTCATTCATGGCTTTCTCTTTTTGCGACACATTTTTATGAATATTTAAATTTCATTTTGCATAAAATTAATAAAAATGAATGGAATGAAAAATAAAAAATTGAGTAGTGAAGTCGATCTTCTATTTAATTCAGTTGAAACTGATGCCATTTCACAATTCAGTAAAGATATGCAGTAGGAAGCATTTTTTCTCCTTATGAATAGCTCTTCAACAGCTCTTCCTTCATCCATTAAATTTTAAGGAGATAATTCAAGTTTTCAAGACATGCGAAAAACCAGAAGAATGAGATAAAAAGGCTAAAATTAGAAAGATACGAAAGCGTGAGATGAATATTAAAAGATTGAAAGTATCGCAAAGGAAAAACGACATTAAAGAAATTCTTGGTAAATATTATAATCAAATTTCATGAATAACTGAGAAAATTGATTCCCTCCTTCTTCTACAAATTAACTTCGATGAAGCAATTCATTTTGATGACAGATGAATTCATGAAAATTTCTTTTGATTTTTCAAATTATTCAATGCTACAAATATTAATAATGACATTATTCATAATTATAGTATACAATCAGATTAAATAAGAAAGACGAATGTGATTAATCAATTTTACAATATTTTAAGATGGTCAAGGCAGAAAAAGAGTAATCGCTGTCATCCGAGGGAGTAATAATAACTTCAGAAGATATAAAATATTTCCAGTCTAATCAAGTTCCAATAAATTGTCTCTAAAAAGAACAAAGTATTTCATAATTTTAAGAAATAAACAATGTCTTCAATTTTTTTTGGTAGCTTAAGTAATGAAAGTTTGCTGGAAGGACTAATATCAAATTCTAAATACATATTGATGAAGTTTTCGAAAAACAAGAACGGAGCGAAGATCTGTCGTTAAAATTTTCAGAAGATTCTCCGATGTCAATATCCATTATAGTAAGATAATATAAGCAGGGTCATTCATGCCTTCAGCTTCACCACAACATTGAAATAGGAAGTGAAAGAATCAAAATTCTTCCTCATAATCGCTTTAGAAATTCGCCGGTACAGGCAAGGTTGAGACTAACTGATTGATCTCATACTTGATGAGCATATAATTATAAGGTAGTGGCTAATATATCAAGAAATTATTCATTAGCCATGTATTCAGCTTAAACATACGTATCGTCTTTCCTTGAACAAAATCCTTTTCTTCCCTAAAACTTCTTTTACCTCATGTCTTACATAATCACTTATAAAATAAAATTAAGTCAATGTAGCGATGATCAAATAACAAGAGAAAATATCATTTTTAAAAGTGTTCTTGCGGTGAAATAAATGATACTGCAGGCAACAATTGTGGAAAGGTAGTAACGGTAATTCAGTAGCGATGAGATTCTCCCAAAGACAAGGATTTTTGGTTTTATCATTCATTCATTGCTGGTAGCCTAGCAGTGCAGAAAATGAAAACAATAATTTCGTTCTTTTCTTAGTTGATGAGTGAGTTTGGACAATTATGTTTCAATCCTATCTTTACTGATAGATTGGAAATGTTAACACTGATCGGTATTGGGAATGTTCTTATAAAGTATAAATAAGTGATATATGATGCGGATTTTTTTCTTGCTTATCATCGAATATTTCTATCTTTAAAATTGAGCGTAGAATACCAATTTCTCCAACAATTTTTCTCCAAACGTTTTTTACTAAAAGACATTTAGAAAAGACGAAATTAAAAAAAGTGGTATGAAGTACGGCGGAGTTCCTATTCCAACGACTTAGAAAAAAATATTTGCTTCGTCATTTATCACCAAAATTCCTGTTTTTTGCTCCACAATCATTCTTCTTTCATTCCATTATATCACTTATCAATTGTGCAATTCCACCCTTCTACATACGTTTTCAATTATCCATTTTAACAAATTTTGATTAATTATATTCTAAACTTTTTTAAAATAATCATCGGTTTTGCAGCGATTTTTTTATTTCTCGATACAATACTTGACGTCTCGTATCATCTCGTTCCAATCAGGTAGATATATACGATGCTTATAGGTAGAATTATCATTTGTCTTGAAATTATATACTATCACGAAATTTCCAACTCTTTCTACAACATTTGAATGCGATCAACAATTGAATTACACTGCTGTACGACTCAGACCAAACAACTAAACGACATACAGCTAAACGAACTGTTGGATATTGTTGTGTTCGCTTGAATGCTGCGTGAAGTAATTAAACCTTTTTTGAAAAAGTACCCAGATGAAGTGATAAGTTGCAGGATAGAGCAGTTCACGTTTCGAAGTATTTCTGCATGGGTAATAAAATCTTTGATGAAGTGAAGATCTGTTTCGATAGTTTGGAAGCTTGTAAGCGATCATCTTATTTTTTTCTTACTGTTATTTAAATTTTACCAAAGTGACTAAAAAAGCTGAACGTTACCACAGAAATCTTCCTAAAACCATAATGTCTTAATCCAAAGTCAGTCAAAAATAAATTAGTAAAATTTCAGGTCAGAAAAATTGTGTTGGATGGCAATGTATTTATACTGATTTCTGTAACGGTCTTTCAAATAAATATATATGTTTAACGATAGATAGTCGTTTTCTATCGTAAGTGCTTACATTTACTTCTTTTTTAGCCAAAAGTGATGGATTTACTTAGAAATGTTAGGTTAGGCTTATTTCGCATTTTTTAAACGAAATGAACTAAAAGTATTAAGGAGGTCGTAACATTTGCACGGAGAACATTTGCATGTCGTAATATTTGCACGAATTTAAGTTTGATAAAAAGATATTAGTATTTAGAAATTTAGAATCAGAAAAAGGGAAATCTCAAAAACTTCACGTTTGATTTTAATTCTTTTCTTTGTCTATAAAAAATCCCATCATTTATTCTTATCGTTTGAGATTTCTAGAATTCTCTAAGAAGTCGAGAAATATAATTTAATTTCCAGGATTATTTTATATTTTTTTAGATGGATGTTGCTTGGGTCATTTCTAATTGTTCTATCATGCTGTTTAACGTTGATTCTATGTTATGCATGTTGCTTCGTGAAAGTTAGAATACGACATCCAATTCCAGCAAATTATAAAGTAACCTTCCAAGATAGAATATCGTTTCGAACATCCGCATTTAGTTAATAATGTAAATTTAAGTTTGATCAAAACGATTAGCATAATCGTAAATTGATTGCATGTCTTTTTAAAAGTCATTTAGACACGAAAGTTATCGAAGTGAGACAAAAATAAATAGAGAAGCAGATGAATCTCTGTACTTCATTTGATGGTATCATAGTCTGTTAAAACAGCACTAATTATGAATTTTGCTAATTATTGACTATTTTATTGACGAACAAAAAATTAGCAAATTTTTCAAATTAAATGAGAGAATTTGTGGACAGTGATACAATAGAGTTTAGGAAGTTTTTTTAATATATTTTATTTAAATGATATGTGAATTCTGATGATGGAAATATTAATTGCTCAAATGTTTTTATTAAACCGAAAACAATAGAATGAAATGGATATTCCATTTTATTTCCGGAGCGTTGGAGATAATTCAGTTTTACGGTTGATTCAAAAATTAATGCATTGCATTGTTCGAGCTAATCAATCTGTACTGAAAAAGTGATGATGTCATAACTATTTTCATGAAAAACATGTTATAACTATTTTCATGTTTTTGTTATTCAGTTAATTAACATAACAATAATTATATTATAGAATGATCTTTAAGGGTTGACAAAAACAGATCGGTTAAATCAGTACTATTTCGCTTTCTGTTTGTCTTTAACCAGATCAATAACACATTCTTATTGTACAGGATTAGATGATTTGTATCAATTTTTGGTGTTTTGAATGGTATTTAAATTTTGATAATTAAATAAAATTACTCAAACAGATTGGAATCAAAATAGAGTAGTGCATTTCAGTAGATCCTATTGATGTAAGTGGAAAAAGAATTTATTTTCAACAAATATCATCTTGCCTAAGCAATAATCACAATGAATGTAATAGCCAAAAATTCCTTCAGATTCATTTTCAACCAGTCATGTAAGATCATCACACAAAGTAATTACAATACTCTGATATTTTTAGCAAAAGTTGAAAAAAAAGAAAACAAGTAAAATTTAATTGTTTCAAATGATTTATTTCAGAAATTCATTGCAGTTTCTGTTAAATTTAAATAACTCAACAAAAACGTAAACTTACTTCTTAGTTTCTGGCTATCGAGAAGTAACATTCCATTGAAGAATACTTTTAATTATCTGATAAATGAAAATGTGCTAAATATTAGCAATTAAAATCCTAATGTACCAATTCCGCCTTCGAAATAAAACATCATAATTGTGAAAGCTTTTTGATTTCATTTATAGTCCTTAGAATTTGAGTTTTGCATATTGAGATGACAATTGAAAGCAATTCAGATCAACAATTCATAATGTAAAGCTAATATTGTAGCATACTTTTAGAAGCTTCAAAACAAGCAATCGCTCAATTTTCTGTATTCTCTTGCAACGCTTAAACTTCCCTTAGATTAAAATAAAAACTTCCTCAACCCTGAGATCGAGATATATTGGTTTCATATTGTTTGTTTTTAGTGATCACATTCTATCTGTGAAATTTGCATTCAATGATTTCAAGCGGAAAAAAACATATGATAGATGAGATGTAGGAAAAAGTTTTCTTCTAAACAGCAAAGAAATGAAGCCTCAAAATGCTAAACCTTTTAGAATTCTCGAGAATTTGTGCTGTTTGAATCAATAAGGAAGGAATTCATAATTTACTGACCCAGTCTCCTTTGTTTTATGTTTATTACCTTTTGCATTACTTGGAGATACATTTTTTTTAATTTAGAGTTAAGTATATTTGATGAAAAAAAATAGAATGATATGATTTGAAGTGATAAGACAAGGAAGGCGGAAATGACAATCACAATTAAAATAAAGGCTGCCAAAATTTCGTCATTTAAAATTAACGAATTAGCGATGTGTTTGTTTTATATGCAATTTATTCGATTTGTTTCATTTTATCCATGCCATTTCAATTTTCCATTAATTCATTATCTGCAGAAACATCTCTGCTCTTTTTTTTCAAATGAAATGATTTAGAGAACTTTAAAATTAATAATTTACAGTTACTATTAGAGGTTTGTAAGATTTATTCAAATCTGATATTTTATAATTATTTCTTTCTTCCTTTTTTAAATACAATACCTGATCAGATTTAGGTTTGTTACTGTAGATTATCTTACGCACAGCATTACGAAGCTTTTTGGATCGTCCTGAATCATTTTTTTTAGATTTATCACTTTTACTTTTACTACGACGTGTACTTTCGCTTTTTATATTTTCTTCCAATTTTTCGTTTGTCTATAAATTAATCAGAATTTAGTATGTTAGAACTAAAAAACTTTATGCATCGTTGATTAAAATACTACTAAAAATGGTTTTAAATAGGGAAAAATTCCTGAATTTATTACTGAAATTCAATGGAATCATCCAACGAGTCATAAAAAGAAATATTAAAAAAGATATGTTATATGTACTGAACAAAAAATTTAGCAGAAAATAGGAGACAATCCTAATTAAAACTGATAGTTCCTAATGAATTAATTTAAATGAGTAAGTGAAGCACACAGGTAAACTTTCAGCTTCATATTGTTTTGTTGATGATATACCTTGGATTTTTCGGATTTCGACGATGATGATATTGATCGCATAGATCTTGATGATCTTGATGATTTCTCATTACTTCCGATCAAATTTGCTTTCATTTTTTTACGAACTGTTTTTCTCTTTTCAGATTTTTCCATCTTTTCTATTCGATAACTACTTCCCTTTCGTTTTTCCTTATATCCTGCAAATACCATTATTGAAAGCATACAATTTATTAATTAAAAAATGATTTAAAATTAAGTAAGCATTGCACAAAATTTGATTTACTTAATCTCTTATAAAAGTATTGATTGATAATCCAATCATTTTAACAAATCTTAAAGTTTTTTTTTTTAGTAAAGAAGCAATAATATTCTAAAAAATGTAATAGTTAAACACTACGGTACATAACCATTAATTTTAGGATAAATAAGTTAATTGCATGTAATTTATTACAAATCATTTAGTCTTGGGAGAGTATCAATTTGTAGAAACAATAACTCTTTAAGGTACTAACTAATATATAAACTATACTAATATTTCAAAAAACATCAGTTTTAATGTGTATGGAATTTGTTGAAATAATTTTTTATTTTAAAAAATTAATTATTTTTATATGTGATGAAATCCATAAACTAAAAATAGCTTTCAAAAATAGTTTATGAAAAAAATCCTGAAAATATAATATTAGCGCTTTTTAAATGTGCTTGAACTGTTGTAATTAGGAAATGCTGCTATTTTTCAGCGGTTGCAAATTACTACTTATTCATGTCGAAATTATCATTATCAGTCAAACAGATAACATGGTGTTATATATGTATTTTATGTGTTATATATGTATTTCATTTATTTTGATTTGTTATGGGAAGAGTACCAATTTATGGAAATATGCACCATATTTAATTAATGGAACTAAATGACAAATAAATAGTCAATCAATTGTCTCTTATCGTTTAGGTTCCCAACTATTCTTTTACCTTTTAAATGATCATAAAGTTTGACGATAAACAAGCATGAAATTATCAGCTGTTTAAGAATATGCTTTTGAAAATAATCAAGTTACTTCCGTAAGTATTATGTCAAACATGATGACCGAAATCGTGAATTTGCCAAATATGATATATAATATGATGTGCGATAACAAGAAACGTTTATGGAAACGTGTGGTGATGGAAAAAGAATAATTTGCAAAAATTACCTTGCTTAATTGAAAATTTTCTTGATCTGAAATAACCAAAGAGTTAAATTTAAAGCAAAAATCGAAAATTTTGGGTTGAAAATATTTGCTAAATTTGCACCATTTCATGAGATTAAAGATTGAATTTCGTTTCAAATCTTACATTCTTTCGATGGAAAATGACGTTGAAATCGATAAGAAAAGTTTGAAGCTATTTTTAAATTTCACGATTTTTTGTAAAAAAATTTTTCAGACTTTCTGCAAAAGAAAAGAAATCAATATTATCATTCAAAAGGAATAAAATTACTTTCCCAATCTTAAATTATATTTAATTTATAAAAAACCGCATATTCAGCTAACAAAGGAAGTTTGTGAAGGTCGATGGTTACATCATCGATTAGGTTGGGTACACCGCAGCGTATCATTCTTTTATCAATATGATCTTTGATAACACAACAACGGCGAGAAAATGTGCTAGACAATGTAGTCATAATGAATGGAATCATCTGGAACATCGGGAATTTTACAACTGGGTTACACGATTTTCTGGTATATATTTATCCTGAGATATCACGAGATATTTCGGTACTTTTAATGCTTTAAACCGTTAATGAAAACTGGTTGTATTAAGCGGCATATTAGCCTTGTCCAATGTCTAATATTCATTAAAAACAGCTTAAATTCTAAGTATTGTTTAGGTTTTGTCATTTATTTTTGTCTTTGAAAAAAATAACAAAATGCTACTGTTATTTAAAAATTCTTATACGATAAAATAATAATGAGGTATAAATGGATGCTGGACATTACTTTACTTAAAATTTCTGCACTTTTTTTTTGAAAAAAATTCCTACTTTTTTTCCGTTTGGTAAAGTTTTGAGAAGTTTTTGGATGGTTTTACGATCACCTTGGCTCAAAAATGCTGAACGGATACGAGAAAAAACTAAAGCACTGTTAATGAGAGGTCTTTTCTGTTGCCAAATCCACACAATTCCAGCATCTACCACATCTATTTCATTGCTAACGTTCAAATCGCACCTACACAAAGTAATACCTTGACAAAAAAAACTTTCAAAAATACTTTAATTAAACCTTCGCATTCGTGTTAACAACATTAAGGAATATGAAAATGAGGTTGGGGTTATTTCATTTCTCTCATTTTCATTAACCAATATTATAAAAAGGATAAGTTTTTTCTTGTTCTTTTAATAGTAAACTTAATGAAGAATGTCGTATAAGCATTAATTTACATAGAATAAGTCATTTTTTAATATATTTCATTTATACACACTGTACTAAAAATTGACACCAAATTTAAATTTTCTTTGGAAAGTCGATGATACCTGGCGATAATATTTGCAAAGACAATTGGTGGTATACAACCAAAAAACTTATGTTGCACAACATCTTGAAATTTCATCGCCGCGATTTTTTCAATCTTTTGACGAGAGGTTATTCCACCGAAAATTAAACGATCACTACCGATGATAATTAGAGCTTGAATGAGGAAATCTGTCTTCTGCGACGCTATTTCGACAAGAATCTTTAAAAAAGGTATCATGAGATGGTAGGACTAATTTATTTTTTATTAAGATTAGAATTGCCAAAAAAGGGAAAATTTGTCATCTGAAACCTTAATGAACAATGAAACAATTTTCACATTAGATTAAATACTTTTATTTCAGTTACAAATTCATCTTTTTAAATCACTCAAAAATTCAATTTTGAAGTTTAATTTGGATTTTCTTTTCAACAATTGAAGCTTTGTAATTAAGCAAAATAACAGTAATTAAGCAAAATACCGCACTTAATGTTATCTTTTTATTTCTTATAAACAAAGCATTCTAATTTTCATATAAAAATGGAAGGAACAATGAGAAGTATTCAATCATTAAATATTTTTCTGTTGGCTTTCATCCTTACAATTATTAATTTCTCACTATCAAATTAATTCAAATTAAATTCTGTTATTACTGTACTTTGAATATAAGTGTGCTATTCGGAAATCTGATAAAAAATAGTAATGTGACAAACATAAGCAGGTTTTTTTCAGAAACCCTTATATTCAAAGTATGGAAATAAATAGTCTGCCATCGTTATCATCATAATCAAAGTTATTTCTCACAAAATTTTTATCAGTGGATATTGCTCTTAAAAGTTCTAACTTTTCGCTCACTAAGATTTTGAGAAATGATAATTAAAATTAATCATATTGTTCAGGTGTTGATAGTAATTAGCTATTTAAAACGCAATTTAATGTTTTTTTCTATTTATTTATAAACATTATAAAAAATCATACTTGTTCAAGTTGTTTGAGTAAGCGAAGCATCAGCAATGATCGTGATAAATCGAGTAGATCGGCTAGCGTATAAAATGATAAGATGATGTTTTTCTGTTCCTCATTTTGGATATATCTTACCAGTATTTTCACTGCATCTCCATCATATGCTAATAAATTGATATATTTTGGTAAGTGACCAATTTCCCATAGCTTTAAATTTGGATTTAAATTTCAAAAATTTGAATATTTAAATGTTTTTAGAAAGGGAAAAAAATTAATGAGCCTGTTTAAATTATTCTCGGATGAATTCTTTGACAAAGAGATACATGCAAAGTGATATAAGCGTAAAGTATTATGTTTACTTAGGTAAAATAAGCAGTAAACATTAGATGAAATGATTTCTTATTTGGCGGTATTGTCAAAGAATTAATCTTTTACAAACATAATTTAAGCATCAGTTTTGATTTAAACACCTATTTTATTCCTTCCTATCTATCACGTGCTCATTAAAATAACAATGGAATGAAAATTAAAATTACTCTTTTAAAGATTATAAAATTTGCTTTTGTTTTAAAAAACATTAAAAAAAAATATCGTAAAATAACAAAAAATATTTTTTTGTTTTTTGAAGAATTTCAATTCAAAAAAAAGTATTTAATGTTGTAGAGAAATTTCTGCAACATTTCTACAATTTTCTGCAATATTTCTGCAATCAGCCTTATTAGTTTTCCCAAATATTTCTTTCATTTTCATTTCACATTTTAAAAAAAGGAAAAAGAAATAAAGAAAGAAAAATAGCTCATTTTACTTGCAGAAAAGAAATAAAAATACGCTAACCTTTCGAATTTTCAACGAATATTTTGCAAATTGTTGCAGTCCAACATAATATTTCGCTTGCAATGTTATCAATGCTATCTTTTTGTCAGTATTTTCATTGCGTTTTGAGCTACTGCTATAAATACTTTATAATTTCAACAATGACTGACCATTGCGCTTTACACTTTTCAATTTATGATTGATATTTAAGTTTTATAAATGTTACTTGAAATAGCAACTTAAGAGCAAAGAGCTTTTAGTTTTGTTGTTCAATGCTCAATTAGTCATGACAATCAGTCATTATCAAATAAATTTAAAAAAAATGAGCATCAAATGTATTCAACAATTTTACATTAATATATGAATATTATTCCTGTTTAATTCTCTTTTGTTTCATTGCTTAATGTTAGCTTTTTCTATCAACTTTTTTTAAGATATTATAAATTCAGCAGTAGGATCTGCCGTACTTATGGGAAATCATGCTTGTTCCTATAATTAGATCACCAAGGTATAAGGTGTTGATGGAAATAATCCATACCTCACTGAAATAAAGGTTTCAAATGATATCTTATTTCTCATCCTATGCGGAAATTAATTTCACAGTTTTCGATATACCTATTTTCCCTGTATCATCGTATAGCCTTATTGAAAGTTGTTGAAATCATAGGAAGCCAGTTGATTAAATCACAATAATGAAAAGTCAAAGATAAGCGGGCAATTTCAAAAACAATTAAATTGTTTTGAAAAATGAAAATTTTCACATAGTTTCATTTAAACAAGAACTTATCAAAATTATCTCATAAACTTACTTAACAAGCATTTTTCTTCAGCAATTTATTTTTAGACATTTTCTAAGAGAAGAAAAAAATATTTAAATGAGGGAAATTCTTAGTTTATTCAAATTTGGTCATAGAAAAGTTGCCACGAAATAGTTCAAGGAAGAAGTTATGAAAATTATGATCGCAATCTTTCCTGATTTTACTGTAGTCTTTTTCGATCTTTTACTTTTCAAAAATAATTTAGCAAAATATGAGAAAATGAAAACATTTCAAAAAACAAAAGAAAAATTATTATAGATAAGAAGTTCAAATTTCCTTCTGCTCTTTTTGGTTAAGAAAGGATCGAGCAAAAACTTCCTTCCTTCGAAAACTAAAATAGAAAAAGAAATTCTCCGTACTTCTTCTATTAAATTAATAGTAACATATCAAACAGTAAGAAAAGCAAAAATAATATAGAAACTCTTTCCTTCCACAAAAAAGTTTTCATTATTAATACTTTTTCATTTTAACGATAAACTCCCTTTCTACTCTCTCTTTTTACTCTTTCAACAGATTTGCTTTTTCCGTTTCTTTTTAACTCTTAAAATTACATCTCTTTGTTTTATCATTCATATAACGTTTTCATTACTATGCTTTTCCTGATTCGTTCGAACCGGTGTACACAAAACGGAAAATATTCTGTTAAGGAAAAAAAACTACTGATAGAGGATTTCTTGCTTTTCGAGACAATCTCGTGGCTATTTACACTTTCAAAATGTAAACCTCTCGATGTTAAATCGAATAAGATCAACTTACAACAGAAACTTTTATTCTCCTATTTATTTTTATTTCATTGAATTTTTTCGTTGAAATATAGTTTAATCGTATTTATCGCCAAAGATTACATTCCCACTCCCACTCAATAAACAAAGCAATAATATCGCACATTTTGCAATTAATACAATAAGCAGTAATTTCATTAATAACCTATATATATCGATTATTTTGAATTAAAATTTCTTAATGATTTCAACCCCTTCGAGGTAAACGAGTGAACATTGTTAAATGTATAGCGGTTTAGGTTATTGAAGAAGATGCTCAACATATTACAGTGTAAGGAATAAAAAGATCTTCTGTAATACGGGTAAAATCAACTGAAAGAGAGAGAGAGAGAAAAGAAATTGTTTGGAAGGAAATTTAACACAATGAATTTAATATGTTAGAAAATCATCCGGAATTTCTTAGATTTTTAAAAATAATAGCTGTGACAGAAAAGGAAAGAAAATATATATATTAAATAAGAAGTAATCAGTCACTCTGTAATCAGTTAATCCGTTATTCCGGATTTTTTAGGTATCTCTTAACATTAATAAATTTACATCAAAAAAATTCATATATATAAGATTAATAAAAATTTGTTTTGCATTTCTATTACTCTTTTCTTGTAAAGACATTGGAAGGTTTTTCTTTGCCATATTTAATTCAACAAACTTCGATTTAGTGAATTTCAGTAATTTAAGTCTTATCTATAAAAAAATTTTCGATTCAAATATTGTTATATGTGGTGTATTTATGCTTTCAAAATCTATCCATCCGATCGGTAATGTCTAATTTCCGGAATTTAATATAAAACCCGTCATAGAAATAAAATATTTCCGAATATAATAAATAAGTCGATCATCTAACGAAAAAATAATGGGGCAAAATTGAAATTCATTCAATGACTACCTCTCTTTCATCGAGGAACTCATCCCGATTGAAGCAGCTGCACTGCTGGCCACCAAAATAAACAAAATGATGCGAACATATCTAATAATTTCTTTAAAAATCCATTTTTTTCAATTGAAAAAGATAATTGAATAAATTTCGATTCTAATTTTAATGAGCGTAGTAAAAAGAGATCACTCATAATTGCGATCACTTAAATAAAATTTGAATTTTTTAAAATTTATTCTAGTTGAAGCAGCTACACTGTTGGCCACCAAAATAAGCAAAATGATTTTTGCGAGATTCATTTTGATCCTATCTTTTCTTCGGTTATCCTTTTTTTCTGGCCAAGAAAAACAGCAAATGGAAGAGAACGTTGTAGATAGTTTGTCCTAATGAAGGAATTCGAAGAATTATCTTCCTGAAATTATAAAAGAGGAAAGATTTATAGCTAGGCCATACTTTCAAGTTAATTCATTTTTTTTCATGAGAGACGATGGAAGAGGAATGCAGAATAAAGGAAGGAAGAGGAAACGGATGTGTATCATATCATCATATGTACTGATGAAACGTGGAAAATGTAAACCAGCCTTAACAACGTTTTCATACGATGATGACGTGAGTATGGAAGATTCAGGTCTAGCAAAGAGAAGAGGCACGTTCGTCTCACCCCTCACACCCTACACTCCACCTCACAACCTACGCAATCAGCAGTGAAGCACAACTATCAGACAAAACACCTCTATTCTTTCACCTACTCCAAGTGCTTTCTCTATCTCCAGCTAATACTCCTATCCATCTATCTATCTATCTGTCTATCTATCTCTCTATCTAGTTGTCTGCATATGTGTGTGAGTCGTGAAAGAGGAATGCCGTTAAAGTCCGATCGTTTTCTTCATTTTTTCTCCCTTCTAAATTTGTCATCAATTTACTTTCGGTTTTGTTTTTGTGATTAATGTTACATCTCTTTTAACTGTTGCACTATTTGCTCTTTCCGTCAAATCTTACGTGAGGTGACGTGGGGTGACGTGTTCTTCCAATCTTTACTATAATTTTATTAATATTTTGTTACTCTTCCTTATACAGTGTTATTAATACATGCTTCCTCTTTTCGTCACTTCGTTATTATACTTATTAGCTTGGTATGATTAAACTCATCTTATCTGATAGCTTAGCGTAATTAAGCCAATTTGATAATGTATCATGATCAGGCACACTTAACATCTTATCATGCTAATACTAGTAGAAGTTTATGAGAGTAATAATTCTTTTTTGGAATTTGGCTATACTACTGATCAAATCATATTTAACCAGCTTGTTCATTTACATTTTAATTTCATGTTGACTTCATTATAAGCTGAAAATTTAGTTACAGAATTTTCCTACACCTATTTCAATTTAGCTGAATGATAATCTAGTTTTTAGTCAGTTAAGTTTATGCTTGAATATTTGGCCTATATCAAACTATGTGACTTTTTTCTTCTGTCTCTTTCACTTCTCTTCCTCATCTTCTATTATCCAAAGCCTATATATGCCCGTGAGAATGGGAAGAGAGTTATCTTCTATTATTTATCACTCTAGCCAAAACGTCTAGACAGTGAAGTACTTTTTTCACGTTTTTCAGAATCCCCATTTTTCAACATTATTTCTCGATTTCTTTGCTGTTACTCTTCACTTTCGAATGTAACTGTCACTAATGCAAACTGGACCGACAATCTCGAGGAGGTAAATAAAATTGAGGACTGATACCTGATTAGAATTCTTTGAAGTTCATGTGTACCAAAAAGGAATCTAAAAAATCTGTTCAAAATATCACTTTATGCGAAGTATGAAATGAGAAATTGGAAGACATTGATCATGTCTTTTGGGAGGTCTCATGAAATAAAACGGATTGATCTTACTAACATTGTTCCAGTTTAACTATTTGGTACAATAATTGGAATAATAAACTGAATAATACGGTTGCAACGTTAACATTATATAGAATTTTGCAGTTATCATTATGGAAAATCAACAGCAATCCTACACGACAGCAACAGTAGAAGGTCCTTCACCACTAGGAATAATGCCAGATATGGTCGATGAAGAACGATTAGCAGTCCTCCAACAGGTATCTATTCCGCTGTGGGGTCAGCTTTGGTTAATAGGACAGTTTTGCTAGCAATTTCGACATTTTTTGGATCCTCTATCCGGTTCTCTGTCATTAAATTAGGATGCAAAATTCCATTAAACTGGTTGTTCGAATTAAGGGCGTTAAGTTAATGATCAGTGATTCTCCCATGTTCTTGAAAAATGAATGACTTGTGCTCTGTATTACTGCTAGTGTTCCCACTTAACATCTTGCATTCACAGATGACATTTGTAATTTGTGCGGATATAAAAAAGGATGAACTTTTCTCATTGTACGGTCTGTTTACAAGTAAGAAATCTTCAACGTCTCTTTTTATAATAACGATGTCAAATTGGAAAATATATGTAGAAGTGCCAAAATAGTCAGTTTCCTATGCTATTTGAAGCTTTACCTGCTATTTATAGATTTATCAACAGAAGCAAGTTGAACTTTTGTCGCAATATCAGCAAGCACAAACAAACCTTGCGATACAACATTTTACCTACTTTCAAGCTCTTCGAACATCTCAACAGCAAAAACAGCAGCAGCAGTCTTTGCAAGATACTAAAGCTCCAGAACAAAGAAGTTCCATAAGTGCTGTGGATATTTCAGAGGATAGTGATGCGCAAGTGTCGTCTTCTGCTAAAGATTGTGCGGGGTTGAGAAACAAAAGGTAAAAATTTTGTTATAACAACTCAACTAACTGGTGAAAGAATGAATGTAATGGAAAGTCAGATTAAATATTTTTCAAGTGTGTTTAAATTCCAAAAGCGACTTCTTTCCAGATCTTATTCTGGTAGCGGACAGACAATTTCTCAGCTAACAAAAGAACGTTTAAAAACGATGATTACTAGTAAAATGAATCGTATTCGTTCGGATAGCGGCAATGTATCACAATCGACAACGTCAACAGTTTGGACAACATCTGCTACATCAAGTACTACAAATTTAGGTACAAGTTCTTTCGCTGCTTATTTTTTTCGCTACTCAGAGATTAAGAGAAAGGAAGAATTTCTAGCTTATGCTATTTTTACTCTTCTTTTAACTAATTTCAACGTATATTCATTGGATAAAATGAAATGTAAACGTTGCGGTCATTATGTAACGTTGATTTGGGTGGATAGTATCCAGATGTCCAAATACAGCTTTTTTCATCGTTTTGTTTTATAAAATAGATCAAAGCTTCGTTTACGTCATCAATATTTAGATATAGTCAGAAAAAATTATTAAAGTGGATTATTTCTAAGGATGAGAATTAATCCATGCAATTTAATCCATGCATTTAATCTACGGAAATTTAATCCCATTATTCAGCAGTTGTGTAACTTATTGTTTAACTTCTATTTTTATACAGAGCAATTCGAAAAGAGTAGTTAAAATTACATTATAGCTGTCAAAATATAAGCTGACTATCCACTGTTTTATAATATATCATTTGTGGAATAGAGTCCAAACTTCAATTTCAAATAAGTTGCAACCAATTAAGGTCAAGTGTTGATTTACGATTTTAATTCAAGAAGCGTAGTGTTACATTCCTGCCAATAATATCAATGAGAATGCTTGTAGAAAAATGTTCATCATTTTATAGCTTCGTGGTCAAGTTGTATAGAAGGTCAAACCTCACAGCAGCTACAGACAAATACAGTACAGACACCAATTGCAGTTTCATCACTACATTTTGAACCATATTACATTCCCTCCACGATGCATGCTGCACACGGAACACTGCAACCATCGGACTATCAGTTACGTAAAGTAAGTAGTGAACCGAACTTGAAAATGCGGATTCGTGCAAAACTCCTTAATAAAAGCGCTGGCCCACTGCAGTCGCAAAGTAGCGCTTTTACGTTTACACAGCGATCCTCTCAAAGGTACTTTTTCTTTAACATTTTCCTTTTTACTACTTTAAAAAATTTTCTGTCTAATTTGTCGATTACACAACTGCTTAATAAAAAGTGATGAAGATTTTAAGCTTCAGTCTTTTTTCTCTCTTGCGAAGTGCTTTTTTGAATAAAAAACTTCAAGTAAAAAATTTAGTAAAAAGAATTGCGTTTTTATTATCTTTTAAATATTTATTTATTTGTAGTGATGCACCGATGGATACCGATTTTGGCGGCAGTACATCTTCTGCTGATTCGCCTACCACACTGTTAACCACATCACCCCATTTGATGATCCCTTCGCCATCTTTACCGAATCTTACTTCACCAGCGCAGATACCGATGGATATGTCGGCATTGCTTGCACAAGCTTTGTATTCACCGTTCTTTTCGATGCCATCACTTATTGCGAGTAACCCTTTGCAGTCGTCATTCTCAATGGTTGGTTCAGGGATTGATTCAAGTACCACATTAAGCGGTAAGCTATTGTTATACTTTTTTCTTGTAATATTCATTTATGACTTTTGATATGAGGATTAGTTCCTGATAAGTGATAATTTCAATTTTTCCTTCTTTTTTGTTTAATACCTTTACTTTCATTATTTTATTTCTTCAGTTTTTTTAAACATTTCTTTCTCTAGTTTATATATATATCAAAATAAAAGTTAGATTTTAGAAGGAGCAGTACGTCAACCAATGAAGTTTGATACTAGGAATCAAAATACGCTGTTATCACTTGGTGGTTGTCCATCCCTGCTGAAACAACAATTACGCGATTTAGTACTCAGACGAAAATCTTTGGTTCGTGAAGAGCCGGAAGATGAAGCAGCTCTTGAAGCACAACTTTTGTCACGTTTACAAGGTGGATCGGTGTTGAGTACACAGCTGAAAACAGGTATTTTGAAAAAGCCAAAAATTTTGTTTTTAGTTATAGCTCTTTGATTCAGAAAACTGATTTTAAAAGTGGATGTCAGTCAGTATTGTAAAACAGTTACTTCATTAGTAATCCAAATCTGGTTTAGTGGCGCACATCTTCATTTTAAATTATTATAAATTGAGCTGAGTGAATGTTAACATGAATCTTTCACTTCGCTTGATAAATAACTTGTCAAATTGCCTCTGTGCTTTAATGAAGACGTCTTAATATACTAAAATGTAAAATGAAACCAACATATGTGATTCTTCATTTGTAAGCAGTTTGATGTTATTCATTCATTATGATTTATGTTTAAGTAGCTTAATCAAAGTTTAAATCCGCTTAACAGCAATTAATTGGACTCCTTAACAGTAATTTCAGAGCAGAAAGGCTATTTACTGCACTCTGATGTAATTTTTCTCATTTCAGGTTTGGTATATGATTCAGCAATGACGAGGCATCAGTGCTTTTGTGGTAATAACAGTAACCACGTGGAACACGGTGAACGTGTGCAGTCCATTTGGTCACGATTACAGGAACGTGGTTTGGTTGAGAAATGTGAACGGGTGTTTGCTCGTAAAGCACCGCTAGAGATGTTGAGAACCGTTCATGCCGCAACATATGTTACTTTCTTTGCTGTATCACCCACGGCTTGCCTCAAAGTAAGACGTTTATTGAGTGTTATGTGAGTCTAAATTTTAAATAAGTAAAATTAGCAGAATTTTACAATATTTATTACTAGGTTCTAATTTTGCACGATATGGATGCTACATATTCAGACTTGAGTTATGTATTTGTCTGATTTCTCTAA